CCTAGGGCCACATACAAGGGGGGGGGGGACTAACCTACCAGGCTCCCTTTGTAGGGAGTTGTTTTTTCCTGTCTTCTGCAGGCGACGTCCTCCTGGCGATTACATCCATCAATTGGGAGGAAACTGCAGCTTCAGAGGTCAGAGCATCACATCACAGAGCATCACAACAGAGGAGGACTATTATTAAAGGTTGTACAATAGCTTTTGAGATTCTTGGAGATTATTTTTGATATTTTTGATTTTTTGTTGTTCAGTCGCACAGTCGAGTCCGACTCTTCGCGACCCCATAGACCAGCTCCCGCCAGGCCTTCCGGTCTTCCGCCATCCTGTGAAGTTTGCTCAACTTCATGTTTGTTGCATCTATGACACTGTCTAACCATCTCATCCTTTGCCGTCCCCGTCTTCTTTTTGATTAAGATGATTTATTATATATGTACAAATTATTGTAAAAATATTTTTCAAAAAATATAAAATCATTTATGATATGTTATAATAATCTGTGCACGGTACTTGTTGTATGTTGCCTTTCCTCCCAGCAGTTACTAGGATTATGGTGTGTTTAACACAATTATATAAACACAAACAATACCATTGTAACAAGTAGCACTAAAAGTGGAAATAATTCTAATCAACATAAACATGAATCATTTTTAAAACAATTAGTTTATATAGTGTAGTGTATTTAATAAGTCAATTTTTATGTAATAAATTAATTTTGGAAAACATCAATGTGAAGTACATTCCATACAAGATGAATTTATATGACAATATTAAAATATTCCAAAGCGTGTAAGAAATCATAAGAAAAATTCATCATGTCGTCGAATTCAACAGAAGGATTTATCAAACCACACGAGGATCCTGGGTATATGTTGTCTCATTTTAGTGATCTTCAGTGACACTAAAGGTTACAATTCATAAACACCATATTCAGCAAACTTCTTTAAATTCCAGGATAGAAGGTGGCAACTAGCCTTTTCATTTGATTTTCAATGTTTTAAATCTGGGCACTGTTACACAGCTTCATGGTGAAATTAATCAGAACATTACAGCGATGGTATAGCCTCTCTTCCTTTCCTCTACAGTGTATAAATGTGAGATTACTGATTTCCAGGACTAAATGAGGTTCTGCAACTTGAGCAATCTCATGCTATGGTGCAGCTGCCTCATAGCACTGATGTTGACATTTACAGGAAGCTGATCATCTTATTCCATCCTTAACCAATTCAGTGTATGGTATTTCCCCCCCCCCACTTCCTCCTTTTTTGGTTAACTGATTGGTTAATTTTCTTTGTTTTAAATTAGCCTCCCATCCACCAAGATAAGGAAACTGCATTTGTTGAATCTGTATGACTAATTTTACCATCATTGCTCTACTACCACCTAAAACGTTGTTTGGGAACAAAGTTCAGAAAGTTGTTTTAAAGAGAGTTCCCTCTGTGTGACTTCAGGACATTCTCTTTGTGACCTCTTGTTCTATTCCCCCTTTCTATGGCCCATATTGGATTTGTGTGTCAATCCACAGATCCCTACAGAAGGCAGTAAGTTGCATGCACATCGTCTGGAACAGATGGTTGGTGTTGGGTTCAAACGTCTTAAGAGGTAGCATCAGCTTAGAAGGGGACCATCCTAAATTCAAAAGAACTGAGAAATAGTAACTTAATCTAAAACACATACCTCTTTGAGAATCTGTCCATAAGCAAAGTAAATTAACTTGAAAGGCTGGCAAGAACAAATTAGAAATACAGCAGCTTCATGTAGTCTTGAAAGTTTAACTCAGATCTTTTATACCACATCTTCAAAGTCTGCAGTTATCAATACAGCTCTCTCTCCACTGCCACCTGGCCAAGGACTGCAGAAATGGGGAAACGCTAGCCCTTGTCCTTGGCCAGAAGTCTAAGGGCTACAGGAAGGTTGCAAAGGTGCCATTTGAAGATCAGCCTGACCCCCAGCCATTGAACAGAAAATGAGCAGCTGGAAGTTTGCTTCCTCCCTACCAGAAAGAAGATTGCTGTCAATGGCAGCCAGCAGGGAGACAAGAGGAAGGATAGTCCACCTTCTGTCAATAGCCAGAGGTACAAGATACCCTGGGAAGCTGTACCTTGTGCCTAGCAAGAGTACCAATTAGGGAAGATCAGCTTGGCCCCAACTAGATATAAATACGCTGTCACAGGTTGACCTCCATCTTTTGCCTTTTCCTTAAATATTTTTAGTCTGCAATTCTCTCTAGATTGACTGACATGAGCCCCTTTGAGATACAATTATTGGAAAAGCAGGATATAAATATTAAAACAAATGGATGACACATTTTTTTCTCCTTGTATTTCTTTATTAATCTCTGTTTGATAAGGACTGTGTAGTACACATCTCCTCCCAGGTGCTGCCAGCTTGGTTCATTTAAAAATTAAAACTTTGAAGCAGCAGCAGGCCCAGATTTTGGACCAAGATACAGCCACCACGTAGCTTGTAATAGGAAATGGATACAGTAGCCTGTGGTACATTATGAACACTGCTACTCAGCTGCACACAGATCTGCTAACAGACTGGCATTTTCCTGCTTTACAGAAAAGTTATTTTGTTTGCAAGGCTCAATAAAGACACCAATATGTAAGTTAAACACTGGAGATGTGGACACAGACAATAGTGCACTTAAAAACAGATTGCTACATTAAAAAAATTCAATCTCAAACACAATCAAAATGTAGCTCGCCCCCCCCCCCAAGAGATGCCGGACTCCTTTTGCAATGCTCATGTTATTTTTATTAACTGACATACACTTGGGAGTGTGGGGGAAGTGTCCTGTCTTCTCCTGGATGCAGGGACACAATATCCAAGTTGTAGCAGGTGTCTGAACCACAGCACAAGGCACTGTGGAATGGGTAGGGTATATATAAGCCGGAGTACAATCAGAACACACTTGACATTCAAAGCAGAAGTATAAGATGACACTGTTATAACAGTTCTTCCTTTGGCAGGGCACCCATGGCTTTTTACATTCTTCTCAAGATGATCCAACAAAGCTAATTAACCATAAAATAGATGCCAGAACTACTGGTTGGAGATGTGAGTAACAGGGCAACTGAAGTTTCTCCTTCTGGACCACACTTAGACATATATGCAGATCTGATGGGTAGGATGAGGATTGTTTATATAACTTTGTATTTTTAAAGTCATATGAACTCACAGAATTCTTGGAAACTGACAAGAACAGCTTAGGAATCTGTCTCTCCTTGGGCAAAAATCATCAGTGGGTCTCTTCAACCACTGATAGATGGACAGGACCTATGGGCCAGCAGAGTGCTTCTATTTGCCCCTTCTCTTCCTCACTTCATATCCCCCATCCATTCCCATATTCACTCGGTCCTGATGTAAGTGTGAGATGAGATGCTGCCCCTCCTCTGACCTTTCAGGGGCCCCAGCACAAAGTGCAATGGGTTACTCAGCTCAGCAGGCTTCTCACCATGAATCCCTGGCACCTGCTTGACTTGGGTGACCTCTGGCACCAACTATGTATACAATGGATACAGCCTTGGCAAACAGTTTGGGCTGAAATGTAACAAGGATCTCTGTTAGTTATCATTTGTGGACAAGAATTAGCATCCTGTATCATCTCATCATTCTTCTCTTAAAAAACCAAGACAAACAAACAAGATACCAAGGAACTGGCCACAATCTGGTATCATGGAATAAGATACTAAGAAAATCATATGCTAGAAGCATATTGAAATCAGCCCAAGCAGGGCACTAGTAACTTCATAAATGCACACTGAATATCAAACTAGTAAAGTCTGTTTTAATGCTGGGCTAAGGGAGAGCAGATTCAAATGAGCTTGGGAGGAGGAACCTACAAAGTAAAGCAGGGTGAAACATACTAGCAACAGGACAAGGGCATGGTGCCTGTCAAACAGCAGGTTCTCCAGTCTCAGTTGCGCAGATCTGGGGGGGGGGGGATATCAGAGAAGCTGAGC